CCTATTCACTTAGAAATGTCTTACAAGGGGATTATATGCAGATAATAACAGCTGTGCTTTTTCTTAAAATGGATTATTTTTCTCTGTAGTGAAGATCAATAAAGTATAACTGGGGCATGCAAAACAGTTCATATGCTAATATGTGTTGAAGTATTATCCTAAAAGCAAGAATTTAAATGTGTCCTAGTGGACTCTTATTATATGCTACGCATGTTTAAATAAAATACACATAGTTTATTTTTGTACTGTTTAAATGAGGACTTGTAAATTGATAGCTTTGATCAATGTGATGTCAGAAGAAATATCTTGAATTCAGCAGATATTAAAACTAGGGATGCACTGAACTACAGGCGTGGGACTGTTTTTTCAGTCCTATTCCCATCCGTTCCCACCCATAACTGAAATGTTTTGGCTAATCCTACCTGTTCACTTCCGTCAAGGCGAACATCCAATATCTGAGATAGTCTATTCACAAATATATTATTCTCTGCTAAAAAAACACAGCAGTCATGGTAATTAAGCTCACTGTGAATTAACTTCACCAAACACCATCTATTTCCAGTAAACACAAAGCAGAAGTTAAATCACAGAGCGATTATTTTTGGTGTTTTTTTGGGCTTGGCATATATATATATATATATATATATATATATATATATATATATATATGATTTTGTGATTGTTCTACTTTATTTAGGCTATTCATTAATTTGCGGGACTTTTCTTCATGCGTGCTTTGGCCTGCTCCGGCCTGCAGTAGGCTGGTTTCCCACCCGCTCCCATGCGCCACACTGCAAATTAGTCCTGCGGTGCAAGATATTGTGACGGGTCCTGTGGGAATCCACATGAGTGCAAACCTCTACACTGAACATCAGTTTTTATCACTGATTCCATATTCTTTACAGCCGATTATTATTAGCCTTGTTTAAAATACCCAAATTTCACATTGTGCAGGCTAAATGAACACTCTAGCACATTTCTGGTCATTTCTATTAGCCATAATTGCTCTTAACAGGCTAAACTGGAATTTTAATTTCTTAAACTAAAACACTGTTGCCTATTTCAATGAGTCAGATCAAGCACTACATTAAAGGAATTGGCTATTTAGTGCTTTGGGTCCTATGAAATTATGCTGTGACATTTTGGTATTGGTGTAGCAGCAGCTGCTTACTTGCACTTACCTGGTTCATGTTATTTAGGTCATACAATTACAGCACAGATCAGCTAAAATAAAAATCCATTAAGCAATCTGCGCTGCCAGATACTAGAGGAAAAAAATTAACAACAAGGAACATGCTAAAATAATGTTTGACATTGGAAGCACTTTTCAAAGATGATATAAGATGCAAATAGGAATTTGGATGCAGTTAGATCTAAGAAGACATTGTTAGACGTTCCGCTGACACAGGTACACAGGTGTTTACATGGCTAACTTTGCATAATAAATCAAATGGATAAATCTTTGTAATTTAGAGAGTCAGGTAAAGAAATGCCTTGGATGAATCACCTTCACATGCTAGTCAACTGCTTTAAAATCCCAATATTGAGCTAGAGTGGGCTTCCTATTTGAATTCCACTGTTCCACCTTAAATGCTGCTATAGAGACAATAGTGTCATGACAGTTCACTGAAAACCTTAAGGGAGCTCTTTACGAAGAAAAACAGCAAAGACACTCTTGACTATTCTCTCAGCTACAAATCAATATAAACCGAATGCAAGATGTTTATAAGCTTGTAATCTCAAGCAGTTGACTTTCCTAGTGAGCAGCTCCACATGCACTAACAAAATTAGGCTCCCTGGACAAAAGTGACATGGCCAAAAGCTGTGGAGAAGTGTGTGAAGAGTAAGTTACTTGGAAAACATGATTCTAGACAATGATAATGTCTAGAAAATGATAAGCTGCTCTTTAGCAGAGATCAATAAAAAGTAATTACAGCATGCAAAGTGCAGTTGGTTGAGACAAGCTTGTAGCCTGGTATGTTTGAGAAAAATCTGACTGATGTGCAAGATTGCAATCACACATACTTGCATTATTGTCTTTTTGGGGGTTTTCTGCTGATCTGCGTATCACTGTAATGATATGTACTGAACCCAAAACTAACTTTAACCCCAATACTCCAAAAGTAAATTCTTTTGTCTCATTGTGCTTTTCATAAAAGCTTATGTTTCTGATCGCAAAGCTTTCTGTTAAAAAATTACTGGCACTTTGACACGAGATCAAAGACGACAGACACTCATTTACCATGTTTGATGACTGACACACCTTTCAGTCAATCACAATCATCTCTAAATGCTACTTCCTCCATCCAGCAGAGGAAAGACTGACAGAACTCCTCACAACAAACCTGCAGTGGTGTCAGTAAATTTCTCATTATTAGGCTAAGATATGGTGGAAATGTGTTACTGAGGAGTGTATAATGCCTGACACATGTTGTTAATTTCACTTGGAGGGTGATGCTCAGACAATCTTGCGGCCAGCCGCTGTCTCCAGGTGAGCTCCACCAATCAAGCCCATTTGTGCTGTCTCGACCGCTGTCCTCCACTGCCCGTTTTCACTGTGCTCTGTCTTCTCTGCTGTTTCCCCACTTTCCCCACTGGGTTCACTATTTGCCTCCAATTCACTATGGGGGCGATCCTACTTCTGACACCAAATGTGGCATAGAAGAAGAAGAAGAAACCCACCACCAGAGCTAACCCCAGCAAGAAATACAGGATGTGGTAATGCGGGCGGGGGCATGACATATGTGGAAGGTGGAAAGCTCACACACGCAATGCCCACCCTCCACTGAGTCAATTACACTGACAGCCACAGCTGCCTACTAATGACCGCATAGCCAAACTATTTACTATCTGAAGCCCTTTACCACAACCACAGCGCTCCCATGAGGCCCCACGTGACGCCGCTCTGCATGTCCACACCTCACGCGCATCCAAAGCCAGTAGTGAGTTGCTACGATCACATAACAAAAAAAAACATTAATTAGTTAACTTTTCTTAATTTATCTGCTGACATTTAGCTTGATAAATTAGTCAGATTAAACAGGATTGTGCAGTGCTCCCATTTGTGATTACAACATAGTCTGTAAAGATATATATATATATATATATATATATATATAGTGCACTCACTATTCTTTGTTTGGTTCAGTAAAGCTTGTTAAAAGACCTTGTGTAAAAGATCATGAGTCCTCCTCAGCATCTAACATTGCTCTTACTAGTTTAGCTAGCTAGCTTTAGCATTAGCTCATCTGATGTGGTAGCTTCCTTCACTAAAACCTCCTTATTAGACATGAAAGCTTTAACATAGAGTGGCTAAACAGCTTCCCTGGTCTGATTAATATAAGCGTGTTTTTGTAAACTTCGCCTGCATTGATATTTTGTCAGATCTCAAACATGTATGTCTGTACTGAGCATCTTGTAAAGGCAGCTGAGGTTTGAATGGAAAATATTTCAAATGTTCTCCTCTAATTTGTTCTTTGTGTTAGCAGCAGTGTTACAAATACTAATAGGTAGCCTGAACTGAAAGTTTGATTGTGGTGACAGAAACCAAAGCAGGTGGGACTGTCTTAGAATTTTTCAAATGCTCAAACACAATAGAGAGCACTGGACAGTTGCTTCAGCACCTGCACATTGATTTTCATTCTATGTGTGTTTTAAGTCACCAGTTTTTTCTGTTCTGTTCCAAGTACAGAAAAATTTATATCTGTGGTAATGAAATGCTTGCTAGAGAGGTAGCATATAGAGATTAAGCTGAAAGATTTTGGAGTATTCCTTTAAACAAGCAGCCAGAATTAATGCATTGATGTGTGAATGACAGCAGAAAGAGGCTGCTGAGTTGCAGTAGTCATAACTTTCTTTCTGCCAAGCTTCCTTCTGCAAGTGTATTTTAGTGCCCAACAAAACATCTCTGTAATGTTATCATCGTGTTGACATTTTGTCTTCACAACACAAGCAGACACCCAGATAAATGCCACGTCTCTATATTATGTCCCTGGTGGTCTTGTTGAAATGCCTGAGGACTACAGAGCTGAACAAAAGGCCAGACAGAGTGAGGCATCACTGTGTCCTCTCTCAGACAGGCACGTCACTTTAAGAGACGCCCCGCAGTCTCTGTTTAACCCAAACAGGACTGAATGACAGACTGATGCTCTTTTCCTCACGTCTGATCCAAACGTCTCACTGAGTCAGCTTCACTTCTGTGCTGGAGCTTAATGAGAGTGGATGGCAGGACAGGCCAGACGTCTGTCTGACCCAGCCTGGGCAGGGGGCTGGAGCAGGATGAGAGTGTAAAAAGAAGAGATGGATGATAGAACGAGCACATTGTTTCGTTCTCTTAATACAGCAATATAGCCACTGCCCACTGCACAGCGGGGGGGGGGGGCAAGCAAGCATGAGAGAGGTGGTAGAGTAGAGCATGAGAGAGGAGGAAGTAGAAAGAAGAGAGAGAGACGGAATGAAGAGAGATGATGAAAAGAGAAAGACAGAGGGGAGTGAGAGGGAGAGAGTAGGGAGAACTACTGAGACGGGAAAAGAGAGAGAGAGAAGGGAGAGAGAGAAAAAAGCGTGTGAGAGTGTGAGAGAAAGGTGGAAAGAACAGAAAGAAGGGGGAGAGAGTGGGACAAGGGACAAGAAACACAGAAAGATAACAGAAAAACAGTAGGGAGAGAGAGAAGGTGAGAGAGAGAGCGAGAGAGCAGGGAGAAAGAGTGAGAGAGAAGGGGGAGTGATAGAGTGAGAGAGAGTAGAGAGGCAGAGCAAGGGACAGAGAGAAAGACAGGAGGGGAGAGTGAACAGAGAGCTTGAGAAGGGAGGGAGAGAGAGAGAGAGAGAAATAAGAAGAGGGACCATGGGGGATGGTGATAGAGCAAGAACCTGCTCTAGAGAGAGAGAGAGAGAGAGAGAGAGAGAGAGAGAGAGAGAGAGAGAGAGAGAGAGAGAGAACGCATAGGGGGATAGAGAGAGAGAGGGAGAGGGAGAGAGAGAGAGAGAGAGAAAAGGAGGGGGAAGGGAGTCGCAGCAGCAGTAGAGTAGGCATCCACGCCATACACAGACAGTGAATGAAGAGCAGTGTGGCAGACATCTCTACAGAGGGGGCTTCCATCAGACGAGGAAACACCCCCTTACACACACGCGCGCAGACACAGTGAGGCAGTGAAAGGTAAGAGATCTGGGGGCTTTATTTCGGCTCTTGTGTGGCTGGGTGTGTAATCCGCTGTGCAGACAGAGTGAGCAGCAGCAGGGCAGGGAGGGGAGAGGAGGAAGGATTGAGCTGGTGTAAAAGGGATGTGATGCTCCAGCGTTGTTGCTTTTTTTCGGTGGGCATGCCTTCTGACGGAGCGCAGCGCAGAGAGCCTGACACACACTCCTCCACCGGCTGCCGAGGTGCAATGGTGAGGCTCGGGGTTCCCATAGCGCTCCTTCCAAACCTGCTTCACCTGCCACCGGGATGCACTTAAAGGAATACTCCAGTGTTTTTCAGCTTAATCTCTATCTGCTGCACCTATAGCACATCATCAGTTACCACAGACAATGATGTTGATAGATTTCCCTGTCCGTTGACTTGAAACATCCATAATTAGAGCTAATGGGCAGGTACTGATGTCCATTGCTTCAATTATAAGTATGTACAGAGTACAGTACAGAGAAATGATCATCTGTGGTAATCAACTGTGTGATACAGATACAACGATAGAGATTAGTTTGAAAAAACATGGACGTATTACTGTAAAGGGCCCATGTCCTGCATTTTAATTTTTTTTTCAACTTATGTCCACTACTGACGTGTATTTTATGTAGCAAACATAATCCATTTGTACATGGCCATTTACAACCTCTCTTTATCCCTTACAATTATACAGGCTGTTATAGGTTAATCGGCTCCATAATGATCGGCTGGCCTGTATTGTTCCTCATTCAAAAAGTAGTCCAGGTTAAAACACTCCTTATAACTTCAGCGTGAACGTGACGAGTTAAAAACATGCTGTAGACTGAATAGGTGGATAAATGTACGTGTTGATATCTGTGACGTCACAAAAACAATGGATTCTAAATGGTCTGTTTTTGCAGCCTAGTTTGCAAAAGAACTTGTTGGACTGGGGTGTGAACTACAGCGACTCTCTGTTTTCCATGATATGGGCCCTTTAAAGGAGCACCTGCCCTTTGCTCTCTGATAAAAATCTGTTTTGAATCAATCTGTTTTCTGATCTTTTCTAAGTGCAGGGAAATTATTGTCTGTGGTAATGGACTGTATGCTACAGGAACAGTACTCCTCAAGCGCAGGCAGATTTATGAAGGAGTGCAGAAAGAGGCTGCATAGCTGCAAAAGTCACTCTGTCAAGCCTTCTCACTTCTTATTCCTTCCACAATTCCCATGCCTTGCTTTTTTTTCCATGCATTCAATATCTATGTTGTCACTTCAGCTTGTGTGTGTGTGTGTGTGTGAGGATGCATGTGCATGCTTTTGCATGTGTGAAGGGTGTGAACTTAGACGGGCAGATGTGCATTCTGTTCAGATGCAGTTTGATCTGTGGTTCAGTGTGGGCCCTGGAGACACTTGATAATTCCAAACCATGCCATGTAAACACTAATCGGATGCAAAGAGATTTAGCTTGGCGATGTTTATTATCCTCCTACCATCATCGTATGTTAACATGTACTTGCACACATGCTCGCAAACAGAGAAAAAGAAATGGAGAAATGAGCAGAGAAAACAAACTGCACTTTCAGTGCTAATGAGCCCAGAGGAGGTTTTGCTGGTGGAGGGGACAGATGGTGGCGGAGTGATGGCAGGGTGACCTTGTGGTCCAGCAGGGCCTGACGCTCAGCTCTGAGCCACCCGTTAGTCACTCAGCCTGGGAAGAAACCAGGAGGAAGCCCCCCGGTACCTGTGGAGAGAGCCGGGACAGCACAAGGTCGTTAATCATAATGTTTATTACTATTGTTATTATTATTGATTCTGTAGCACTTCTAATAAGTTATTTACACAGGAGCCATCTTAAAGGGCCCATGTCATGGAAAACTGAATTTCCCTCACTTTTTTGGAAAGCTTGGGAGTCAAATATGTAAACATTGTTAAGGTTTTAAAACATACTATTCACGATCCTGTCCATATGTTGTATTCAAGACCAGGTGAGTCCAAGTCCAGATCAAGACCAGTTTAAATAAAATAATAATAATAATACAAAATAGAAATAAAACGAAGAAAGACTGAAAGAAAAAAAAAAACTAAAATTTATTTCTAGCTAAGTCCTCAAAGGAAAGTCTGTTCACTTGACAGCCATCTTTGCAACACCACCAGGCAGTTATTTCCAGTCACACAAGACCAGACTCTATCTCTTTAAATGAGGAGAGACCAAAATACATGAAACTGAAGGGCATATAATCGTTTAAAAAACATGTTTGAAATCACTCATAAAATATGACAAAACCCTCCTAAATATTTTATAGCATTTGTCCTCAAATAATGCACAAAAAATGTTTTATCGGGTTGTTCTGGCTCCACCAGAATACTGCTGCTCTAATGCAGCGCTACCTCTGCTGTAATACCAGAGACTGACTAACGTAACATTCAGCCAATCATATCAGACGGCATACGTTGTAAGCCAATCATATCAGAGCTGGGGGAGGGGCTCAAAATCTATAACATACAGAGTAAAACAGTGTTAAACAGAGTAAATATATCCACCTACAATATGGATTTGTGGCAAATTATGGTTAATATAGCTGGATATCTGCATCTTTTTAATTGGTTACTTGTTAACTCTAGCTAACTTTAGTTAACTAAACTAAACTAAGGTTTAAGTGAGGTAAAGAAAAGGGGCTAGGCTAACACGAACATTAGCTAACTAGCTCACAAGCCGACTAGTTTAACCCATAGAGTCTATGGTTTAACCTCACTTTATAGTGAGTGCGAGAGTGTGAACAAACAAGAGGAATAAAAATAACATTATTGAAACCTCTTTGTATTCTTTGTTTTTAGATTTCTTTTGAGTATTTGGATAGAATGATATGTATTTGCCATATTGCTGCTTACAGTAAGTTAACGTCAGTATAAAGGATGATGCTATAGTTGCTTGGCGAGGCGCCAGAATGTAACTGCTGCAGCATTTAAGGTGTAACGGAAAAATTCAAACTTTAGCTTTGTGTGAAAAATTCGTCATAACACAGTTTTGTATCTTTAATTCCTCAGCCTTGTAGATGCAAATTAAGAGGCAGCAGCTCTGTTGAAGGCCAGTCAGATGAGAAGATTTATACCAACTTAAAAAAAAAATACTTCATTATTTCCTTGAGTTCTTGTAAATCTGAGTTTAATAAAATTAATGAGAGGGAGAGAAAGAAGCTGAAGGAGACTGACAGCACTGGGGGAGCAGATCTGGTGGAGGTTAGTGATATAGAAGAAAATGAGGGAGAGTTGAATTAATTTTAACTTAACTGAAAAAATACAATATTTGTCACCATGACCATGGCATTATGTCACCCAGCTTATTAAACATGCCTACAGAGCAAAATCACACTCTTTCTGATTGTATCTAAGAGAGAGGAGACAGCATTGCTTGATTTCAGTACCTGCTTGATCTGGATGGATATAGTGTTTGTTATCCTGGCTCTGTGCTTAATACAAACTATGAAGAGACGGATCCACTGTGTGCCAGTTTGATCAAATAGCCATTTCATGAAATACCTAACACGGCTGATGTGGCTGTTGCTACTCTAAAAGGGCATTATAAACATTTTGGGGCCCCTGGACCCCACTAGAACAGGCTCAGCCCCCCATCCTTGAACCCCTGATGACGCCCCTGAGGACAGATATTTCAATTTTCATATATTTTGGCTTCTTAATAGCCTTGTAATTTAGAGGATCCAGTGACATTCAGTAGAAAAATGTATATAGGACAAAACTTCGATGACTTTAGAGGACAAAAATGCACAACTTCAGAGGTCTAATGAGAACCGTTCAAAGGAAAGACGCTGGGTCACTGTGTCTATAGTGTCTGTAGTGAATTCTCATAGTGATGTTTGTGTCGTGTAGTTTGGTGCAGCAATCAAGGTTAAAACTTCATAGCTTACATATTAACTTTGTTCCTATAAATACAGCAACTCTAGGGCACATGAATGTTGCTGTGCATGCTGCTAGGCTAGCAGCCAGGATTGGTTAACACAGGGATCCATGATGGTTATGTGATACATTTGCGTAATGCATGCTGGGTATTGTAGTGAGAGTACAATGATGAACAAAGCCATGACAAGAATATACAATTCATGAGTTCTCTCAAACGAACAAAGCTGTAGGATATAGTGCTGCGCCACAGAATACTACACAACACAACACATAACATATTAAACTCTATTTTAGGCCAGAACTCCCATTTAAAGAAACTCCACATAATGTACAGTTTCTATGCCACTTTTCCTAGAGCTATATGATCAAGCCAAAACCATTTAAGCACCTTCATTTTTCAGAGTGAACTCTGCAAAACATTGGAAAAAATATTACAATTTAAAGGAAAGATAAAAAGAATGCACTTCTTTTGAGCTGCCCAACTGTATCTATCAAATCTAGATGAAATGGCCTTGTGCATATGAACGTTCAACAAATTGGATTCACTGAAGGCAGCAAACAGAAAGGTTTTCTGGCCTTTTGAGCCATTAGTGAAAATGAATGGCATAAAACCTCTGTATTATGCATGGTTTGATCTGATTGGCAGTGGAGTAAAGATGCTTCAAGATGTGCAGAGATAACAACATATTCACCTGATGGAGGACAGATGTTAATGAACCAAGCTGATGAAATGCTAAAGAATTGAAATCCTCCAGTTGTAACAGTAACACGACAGAGCACGGTGCTCAGCAGCGTAATCTCTTCATCGCACTTTCTAATCAGAGACAGAGTTAGACAGAGGGAGTGAGAGAGAGAGTCTTTGGAGTCTTCAGAGGAAATCAATATGGATTACTGAAAAAGGGATGTCTGTGCGAAGGCTGCATTTGGTCCTGGATGAAAAGAAGCGCTAAACAAGCATAAAGTTAGTGCTACTAATGAAACAGTGTGGTTCTGACGGACAGACAGATAGAGAAACTCATCAGATCTCTGAATATCAAGCCTAATCCTCTGCGTTTTATAGGTTGCATTAAATTTTTCAGAAGCCATGAGATTGCTCTTCCTCTGAAAGTGTAGGCCTACATTTTTTGGATGAAGAATCAGATACCTTCACTTTTACCAAGAATGTAGGCTATGGAGTCAAATATGTGAAAGGAAGCAATGCAAAAATACTGACCTACTCAAACTGTACTGACTAAATTCTTTATACGCAAGCTGGCTATTTAGCTAGTGAGCCATATATCATGCATGTTAATTGTATTTTCCCTCAATGAACAAAGACAGCTAGACAGCTTTTAGATAGTGATTATGAAATAAAGAACCTGGTATAAAGATTTTTTACTTAGTAGTGGCAATAGCAGATGTGGAAAAAACAGACACAAAAAGGTCTACAAATGTAGGTTAGCTACGGGAGCATAGTGATGTTCCCAGAGTTCTATCTGTCCAGGGTTCTATGTTCCCAATGCCCAATGTTCTATGTTCCTAGGTTTCTATGTACTCAATTCCCTTTTTTTCCTCTGGTTTTATGTTCATAATGCCCTGTGTTACTGAGGTTCTATGTTCCTAGGTTTCTATGTACTCAAGGCCCTATGTTCCCAGGGTTTTATGTTCTCAGAGTTCTTTGTTTTATTTACTGAATATAAAACATCAGAATATGTATATTTACCAGAAGTGAAGAAATTACTCTTATTTTCATGTTGGGGAAATATGATTGAGGCAACTTGGAAACGCAAATCTATTTTCCATGAAAATTTCAATGAGGGAACACAGGACCCTGGGAATATATATAGGACCCTGGGAATACTGGGTTGTTAAAAAAATCACAAACAATGTCACACACAGGCAGCTGTGTAGAACATGTTACCAGAACCATATCAGCCCTTCATGCTTTGTCCAAAATTTATCCCCATGAAGGTCATTTTTTACTTTTTCATTATGTTTTTTCTTTGTTTTTCATTATGTTTCCAGTGCCAGGCAAAGCCGTGTCATTACAGACTGCTGGTGTTCACTTGTGTTTTCCTGGAAACAAGCCTTGTCAATATAGCAGCACAATGAGTGCATGATAAAGAGTGCATTAAGGCCATTTGCCTTAAATCGCCTGATGATTGTGCATGATAGTTGCAGTAAAACATAAAAACCCTGGGCCTTTTACAGTTGTTTGAATCATGAAACTCTTAAAAGGAGCTGGGAAGAAAAGCAGTGATGAGGTATTGATTATTGATGCCATGGGGACTTGGAAGACTCTTGGGAGTGTTTTCAGCTGATCACATTTCTCCTGACTTCACACATTGTGTTGTCCACATTCATGCTGACCATGAGAACAGCATCTCGCTTTTAGAAAGCAGTTTTCTTTTTATTTTGCTGAAAGACTTGCTTTATAGACTTGTATTAGTTCTTTCTCATGTAATTTCATTTGATCATTCTTTCTTTTAACAATATTACCCACCTTATTATACAAACCCAATTTCAAAAGTTGCGACAATAGGAATAATGTAAATGAAAACAGACACCAATGATCTGCACGTCCTTTTTGACCTGTATTCAATTAAAAACAGTACAAAGAAGAAAGATCCAATTATGTAACTTTGTTTTTTGTAAATATATGTTTCTTATAAATTTGATCTCTGCAACATGTTCCAAAAAATTCAGGACAGGGACATGTTTACCACTGTGTTACATCATCCTTCCTTCTAACATCATTCAGTAATCATTTGGAAACTCAGGACACCAATTATTGTAGTTGTGAAAGTGAAATTAGATAATTACAGATAAAGATAATTACAGTTTCTCTCATTTGCTAAAATAATTGAAAGTATATTTAAAAAACTGGGGTTGACTTAATCTTCATTATCACTTTTTTAAGCAAAGCAGATGTTTTTTTTTTATTTGCATTGCTTTAACTCATTTTTCACACACTTTTTACCGAACAATGAACTCAGATCTCATAGAAAAACACAAGTTCATTGGATAACTGTGCAAAATCATGTAGTGACAGCTTAGAGAAAATAGTCATAGTCATAAATACCTTCAGCCCCCATGTGAATAACTTAACAGTTAACTCAACAATCTGTCATCATCAGTTGTTTATGTAAACATCAATAAAAGAGGTTTTAGACAGGTGTTTATCAGATGAGAAATAGGTAACAGGTAAGACTGATATCATATAAAACTGATTAACAAAGTGACAGATGTACCTGCTGTTCTACCAGAGACACTATATTTTACGCTTTTTTCCATACTCACTGAAAAAGGTGAGAATAGTGGAAAGCAACATTGTCCCAAATGATGATAAACAGGAGGCCGGTGACAGTATTTGTCAGTAGAAGATGTGTAATAGCTTTATAAAATGTTAGACCTACCCACTGAGGTTTTTAAAAATGTGTATAATGAACGCTACAGTGTGTCGACCTTTTAGGTTTCATCCTTCTTCCACCTTCTGACATGGAAATGCTATGATTGATGACATTGTTACAGTGAGTATACAGTTAGTATATTACACTGAAATATACATCTGGTTCCACATTGTGAAACTTGCAAATTCTAAGTCTGTTTACAGTAAAATATCAGCAGGTAGTACAGCACCTATAAACATCAATAATGATATATATTTTATGTTAATTTGGTTGTTGTTTAGTGAGTGATTGAATGAATTTACTCACCTGATTATCAGTTGTTGTGTTTGATGGAAAGGTTTGCTTTTGTGGCTTGTGCTTAGTGTTTTGTGAAGCTCTGACCATTTTGCAAAGAAAAAGTGATGTTTTGGCCAGAAAGCCTCAGTTGTGTGTTAACTGTTTGGAGCATACGACTTCTTAATGAATAGAAGTGTTCAAGCACCTCAGAAACAGTGTAAATCGTTAATGATGGTTCCAGCTGTCTCTAAAGCAGGTGTAACATGAATTAGAACCATAAGGGTCAGTTTGGGTCTGTTCTTGTGTTTGAATATCCAGTGGAAAAATGTCCATACAGAGGCAGTCAAATGGTTAAGAAATGCCAGTAGAAGCCAGTCACAGAAACACTCTTTTTCTGCTTGTGGCTGGCAGGACTGTCAGATGAGGTGATCCTCTGAGCGGGACTGAAAGGAGAAAGAGGGAGACCTCCTGTGTGTGTTCCTGCCTGTCTTGTGCTCTAATGAGAGAAGCCATGCCTGTCCTGTCAGCCAGCACAGGTAAGAGGCTGAGAGAGGCCACTCTCCTTACTGCTTTGCTTGGATATCACTTATAATGATGCTCATGCTCTATTTCTGAATCAGTGTGCTGAACAGTAGGGGGGTGATGTGCTACTCTGTGTCCCTGCTCTATGTCCAGGCCTACACGAGATGCTAGCCCTGCTAACATCTCAGCTGCACCCGGACGCCAACCACAAAGAGGATCTGGTCTTCCTCCGAGAAGTTTTCAGCGAGAGGAGCCTCAGCTACCTAATGAGAGTGCGTATAGCCTAAGCCTGAATTCAAGTTCCATATAACAAAGACACCCTCTGACTCCTTGCTTGCACTTGGAAATCCCTGCTGTAATCTTAAATCCTTTATTTGATTTGAGGAACCATTGGCCGCACAAGTCATATACTTTCAGCCAGCAGTGTAAAGAGTGCACTACTTACTCTTACTATATTGGTGATTCACTTGAATACAAGCAGAAGTATTGACAAAGAAAACTGCCTATCACTATTTTTTTAATTGAAATAATTTCCATGAGTTAAAGTCAACCTGAATCTAAAATTGAACTTTTTTCTTGACAGTTGATATCTTTTGTCTTATTAACCATGATTTATCATCCCTGTTGAAAAGAACAGCACAGAAAAGAGCAGCATGAATTCTATGCTCATCTAATGTGGTTTATGCTGGTCTAGTGCTGATCTGGTGCTGGATTAGGTGGTCACCCAGCATAGTCTTGCTGTTACCAGCATCCAAAACACACATATGCTGGATTAGGTGGTCACCCAGCATACTCTTGCTGGATGACCAGCATACGAGCATCCAGAACATATGCTGGTTTTGCTGGTGACCACCCATGCTGTTTTTTTTTTCTAGCAGGGATCGTTAAAATGACAAAAGTGGCGTTATGTATTAATTTTGCCCTCTTCTAAAGTGTCTTCCAATTTTTGCTTGCACAGATCCTCTCCCTGATACCATGTGTTACAAGGAAAATATGTTTTTTTTGATTCACATTAACATTTAACATTTGCCTTACAGTAAGAAGGTCCAGCGATCAAGGTTTTACTGTGATTACTAGCTACCCAGTAGCTTACCCTGCTGAAAAAACAGCACTGACCTGTTTAAGGTGGTCTCTGGTTTATGCAGATCTAGTGCTGGCCAGCATACCAGCATCCAAGACACAACATATGCTGATTTTGCTGGTGACCACGCATGCTGGTCTATGCTGTTTTTTCTAGCAGGGTTTACTTAAACAGCTTTTGTTTAAAAAAAAAAGCTGTTGTGCTTTTTTAGAAAGAAAATAAACAGTAAAACAATGGAACAATAAATATAAAACACATTTGCTTACACGTTTTATAGTAAGTATATCACAGGTCAGATAACTGCTGAGGGTAAATAAATGCACATGCTTTACCATTCATGCGGTAAAACGGACGACACAAGGAAAATTGTTTATAATGTTTATAATGTTCTACACAGAATGGACAGTGCATGTGTGGCTGGCGTGTGCGGTCTGTAGCAGACACTCTGACTTTCTAAAAAGCTGCTCCTCATTAATATACCCTAACCAGAGAATTCAATAGAGGAGAACTGCTATCCAATAATGTCTTCTGAGTCCAAAATGAATGGGTTTAATATGGAGCATTTGAGCAAAATCATGTTTAAATAATTTTATATAGAAGAATGCATTCATTTCTGAACACAGACAGCAGCAAATATTTTAACACTACTGTTATATTTTTGAGTACTTTTGAACTCCAGTTATAGGACTTTCTAACGGTGCTTCATGTACATTCATGACGTCAGTGAGTATGAACTACTTTATTCAAACACTGAGCTCCTCAGCTCACCAACCAATCAGCATTCAGTAGCAGTAATGCTGGCGTCCTACTGGCCAAAACTCATTTGCTGTAGAAAAAAACAATATATACAAGTAAGTTTTCTTTGTTTTTTTTTGTGAAATACATCCTCATATTTTACTAAATTGATAGAAGGTCCTGGACAAATGGTTAGAAACTATTTTAATTCTATTCACCCTCATTCACTCGCTCATTCGTGCCCTCTGGCATTTTTGCAATAATGAGGGAAATAGGTAGTGGCCAGGCTCCTCTTAAACCAGCTCTAGCTACTTAGCTAAGATTAGTTAGCCAGCCAGCTAATTGCTTCATCAGGTTGGAAATTGATTCAAAATCTGAGATGTCTCTTCACTATGTATTGGTTAGAATGAAAATAGCCAAATTGAAATGTTTGTTAGAGATACACAAGTTACATTACTATGCTTTTAATTGTACTACATTTTTAAGTACCATTTCAAGGAAAAATGTAATCAAGTACATTATAAGGAGAGTAGTTGTATTTTGTTAATTTCCAAGTCTGCTTTCAACTAATGTGTTATCATTTTATCGCTCTCTATGCTGATTGCTAATTTTTCAGGAAACCATGAACCATTGTAAGTAAAAGCTAATGGTTAATGAATGGTTGTGTAAAGTTAGCAGACTGGTCTTCTAGTTAGCTAGGTGTAGTCATTAGCTAGTCATTAGTTAGTAGCTAGTTAGCTATTTAACATGCAAACCATTAGCTAATTTAACTAAATCTGTCCTGACATCATGTTTGTAAAAGGGGATTAAAGGGGAACTCCACTGATTTTGCAAAATTAATTAATCATTCAACCGTTTAGATGTAAACAAACTCTTTCAGAGTGGTTTGGTGTGAAATGCACCTTTCTAGAGAAATTTACTGAGTCAAAATTGTTCACCGTTGTAGTACTAGGAATCAGACGTCCGTATGTCTACATTACAGATCGGGTGGAGGGAAAATGAATATGAAATAGCATTAGAACTACGGGTTATATATCCACGTCTTGTCCCTGTTTGTGTCTGTCTGGGTCATTGTGATCACTGATCTGTTGCTTTTGTTGTTCACAGATCCATGAGCGTCTCAGACAGTATGAACATCAGAGCCCTACCCCAGTTCTCCACAGCGCCGCCTGTCTTGCAGAGGATGTAAGTGTATTCTCAGACTTTATAAAATGAGCATTTAGCTTACTAGCCACCCATAGTCGACTCCGACTCTTGACTCTTGACATTGGATCATCAATTCTGGACTCAATTCCTTGACTCCAGGTAAGTTTAACCAAGGCAGTATCAGAGCCATTGATAAATGGATATAGCAGAGATATAGCCACCCAAAGCAGCGTACCCAATTTTTTGAGTGGCTACAGATTATACTGATACAATTACATACACAGTGATTACAGCTGAGTAATGTTTGAACACATCTTGCATTTTACCTATTTCACATAAAAAGACTTCCAAAGGGAGTGCAAGCTCAAGCAGGCTACTGGACGAAGGGGAAGCTCAGAGTGATGTACTGAGAAAATAATTACTGCAGTTGTAGTTCTTAAACCATAGTTCTAAACCATTAAGCACTTCATCAGATTTAAAGTAAAGCTTTCATTCTGGAGCAGCTGAACAATAGCTTCACCTTTTCACAAGACACCAGAATGTAAGTGCAGCACCATTTAAGGTGGGACAGAATTTTAAATAAGAAGCTGGCGAATAAGAAGCCCCTTCATCCTCTTTTCCAAAACATTCTGTGAAAAACGTTTATTTTTAATTTTGATTATTGTTCCTTGTACTGTTTTCCGTAGCAGAGTTAGTGTGCAGAGTGGTGCAGTGTAGAGGCAGACATGTCAAAAATTTTGCGCCTTTATCAGCTACTGAGCAGCTGGTAACTGAACAAACTCACGGTGCTCAGACTCATGCCGACTACCAGACGTCTTGACAGAGTTGACGAGTTGAAGTCAAACTCATTGGCCAAGAGATGACTCCCAGACATGTTGGAGTCTAAGGACTCCCCATCTCTAGCTGCCATTTTCATTTACTTGTTTTAAGATGCCCTTGTCCACTCGGCCATGCCATTTCCCCGTGTGGGAATCCCAATGCCATTACTTTATTAGCTCCAGTGAAGTGTCTTGAGGAGCCTTTAGAGCGGGTGACCAATCAACAGAAGTGTCAACTTTAACAGCAGAGCCTGGAAATCTTTTCACACTGATGCATCAAACCTGAAGAAATAGACAAAGCTGTTTATATGCCATAGCAATAAAACACTCAAATATTTCACTCAACTGAACAGACTAATAAAACTATATTACTTTACTTTGCTACCTTGCTAGTTAGCAAGATAAAGACCACATAGCTTGGAACAACAAAAAAGAATGACAATACAATACAGTTTTAAAACAAAGATTCTATCCAGGCAGAGCAATTGACAGAGTTTACATACATTACGTTCTCAGAAAAGCATCACTGAGGCCCAGCCGAGGGCGAGTGCGTTCCCTCCTCCTCTTGTACTGCGAGCGACCACTTTTGTAACGTATTAACAATGGGGAGTCGATTCCTAAGGAATGAATTCTTTGACTCTAACGTGTCTGGGAGTTGCGGTTGACTCTTGGCCAGTGACTATGAGAGTCAAAGGCTGCAAGCAAATTGGGTTTGTATCTCAAAACGACTGTCCTTACTGTTATTTGCAAGTGATCAGATTGGATTTGTGTGTCCAGACATCACCAACCTATCTGCATGGGTTGCTGTGGTAACAACGTAGGCGTCTACTATGTAGCTATGCTAATGATGAGAATTTCATTAGCGGATGCAGGAGAGATTGAGGTGCATCATCTTGCCCTCCAAACTCTTTAAAATTCTCAGGCGTAAGCATGAATCTTTGGCACTTTTCTTGAATCCTAGCATTTCCGTTACTCTGGATCTGACATCATAGCTGTTTGCGAGTGATGCAAAAGACACTTTGAAATCTGATTTGAGCGGCCAGAGTGTCCAGAGAGGCGTCTGTAAAAATCCGATTGGAATCGCATTTCAAAACACTTATAAATGTGGTTTTATGTGGTCCGAATTGTAAAAATCGGATTTCATGTGGTTTTTGTTGTCCAGACTATCAGAAATTATCTGGATATCTTATATAATGTGGATATGCCAAAAATTGGATTTGGGCTGGCAGTCTGAACAAGGCCAAAATGCTTAGGGTTGACTTGTGTTTTTTAATTGTAATTGGCTCAAGGGACATTTTTACCTAAGCACTTGTTAAATTTTAGTACAGCAAGTTTGTTTACCAGCTTTATGACAATCCAACGCTGCTCACCAGTCGCTGATAAAAACATTTTGCACATGTCTGTCTCTATACTGCACTGCTCGGCACTCCAACTCTGTTATGGAAAAAGCAAACTCTTAATTTTCTTCATGATTTGGGCTGCAACAAACAAGAGTTTAAAACAAAAGTACAAGAAACAAAAATTTCAATAGTAAACAATATTTTTCACAGAATGTTGGGGAAATTGCATGTAGCTGAAGTTGGCTTCTTTTTTGCCTGTTTCTTATTTAAATTTGCTGTTCCACCTTAAGTGGTGCTGCAGTTACATTTGTGCGTCAGTACACTGTTTAAGATAACCGCTGCATCATTTAAGGTGGAACAGAAAATTCACATAAGAAACTGGCGAATAAGTCAAATTCGGCCGTGTGGAAAGAGGAACAAGATCACATTCAGCTGATCCGGAATGAAAAGAAATGATTTTCTCAATACATCACTCTTCATTCTTCACCCGTCAAAGCTCGAGCCCCATTCAGCAGCCTCGTCAAGTGAAATATGTAAAATTATGTGAATTCTGATTGTATGATATGTTGAAACATTAATTAGCTGTAAAAATTAATTAGCTGTTTTAAAAGCTGTACTTTTAAAATTAGGAGAGGTTTGGAAGTTTGGTTGAAACATCTGTGTATAAATGTAAAATGTTTGAGTAATAAACTATTTAGCTTATCGCTCTGGACTGAGGGAAGAAGGCTCCATATGTTCTCTTTTGTGTATGTGTCAAAGCATTGTGGCTGTGATTGACAGGTGGCCGAGGAGCTGCAGAATGGGCCACTGGAAGGAGACGAGAAAGAGCTGCTTATGCTTCTGACCACTCCACATGTGAAGGTACACACACACACACACACACACACACACAAACACTCTCATGGGCACGTATCCATTGTTCTCTTTCAAATTTAGTTGTGTGCAATTATTTCAGAGGTGTAGCTCTTTCACCTCACATAGAGATTTTAATGCCAGCAGACAGACATTCCTGTATAATCGCTGTCATTAAAGGGATTAAAGTGATTAAATGTAATTAGATTTAGTTTTATGGTGTGTGGTATGAAGAAATGCCATTTAAAGACATATTTATGAGCTCCTAATAGACCCATTTTCACTGTGCCTAAGGCATCATATCCCTTTTGGTTCCATGCTCTCTCTCTCTCTCTCTCTCTCTCTCTCTCTCTCTGTCTCCCTCCATCTGTTTCTCCATTCTCTCTTTACTGTTTTTTTCAGTCTCTCTCTCTTTTTCTCTTTTCTTTTCTTGCTTGTTTCTTTTCCTTTTTTCTCTTTCTTCCCCTTCCTTTTTTTCTCTTCCCCCCTTTTTCCGCTGCCTCCCCTCTTCTCTTTTCCTCCCTTTTTCTCTATCTGTATCCCCCTCACACACTTCCTTCTCCTTCTCTCTCTCTCTCTCCCTATTTCTCGATCTTTCTCTCCTAGTCTCTTCCCTTTTTTTTCTGTCTTCCTCACTCCCTTTCTCTCCTTTCTTTCTCTCTCTCCACCCTCTCATTTTCTCTTTCTTTCACTTATTCAACCTTCTTTCTTTCTTGTTCTCACCATCTTCTCTCTCTTTTTGTCTCTTCTCTCCTCTCTTTTCTCTCATTGAGCCTTTTTCTTTCTCTCTTTCTTTCCTCCCTTTTCCTTCTCTCCTTATTTCTCTGTCTCTTTTTTCATCTTTTTCCACTACCTTCTTTCTTTCTCATTCTCTCTCCCTCTTCATTTCTTTCTCTCTCCATCTCTTACCTTTCCTCTATTTTTCTCTCACTTACCCTTCTTTCTTTTTGTCTCTCTGTCTCGCCCTCTTTTTCTCTCCCCTCCACTTTGTTTCTCTATTTCTTTCTCACTCTCTCTCTCTCCTTATTTCTCTGTCTCTCTTTATCTGTCTCTTTTCTCTCTGTGTCTCTCCCTCTTTCTCCTTTGTTCTCTCTCTCCATCTGTCTCTTCCCTCTCTCTTTCTCTCTCTGTCACTCTCTCACTTATTTCTCTATCTCTCTTGTCCTTGGCAACAGTCGAGCATGTCAGATTTGATTCTGGGTCTCCATTTTGCGCCCCTCCCCCTGGGTATGTGTACGTCTATGTCTGTGTTCCAGGCTGTGCTAACGGTTCATGACACGGTGGCACAGAAGAACTTTGACCCTGTGCTGCCCCCACTGCCGGACGACCTGGACGATGAGCTAGAGGAGGAGTCAGTCAAGATTGTCCGTCTGGTGAAGAATAAGGAACCGCTGGTGAGTCTTAGAAAGAGTCAGTAGAGCCCAGACCACACCATCACATTACGCTCAGCGGTCAACCACTAAACATCAGTGATGGAAGCAGTACACTCATGTCCAGTGATATGCAATATGGGATGGACACTGTGCATCTTTTGTTTAACAGCTGAACAATTGAATAATACTAATATGATCTTGCATCCTATTACATTAAAGGCATATTAGTTTGTAGCACTGCTGACAGTAGATGTATTAAAGGGGCCATATCATGGAGTGCCAGTGTTCTTTAAAATAGGAGTTTGATGTAGTATGTAAACATTGTTTACTACTCAGTTCCCTGTCCACACAGTTCCACAGCAGTTTAGCCCCACCCATTCTCAGGCAAGGCTGCTTTTTAAATGACTCAGAAAAGAGGGCAGCCAGTCAGAAGAGAGCTCATTTTCATGTATATTGGTCTTAAAGGCAGAGGAACTAAAAAGTATTTATTTCAAAACGATAAAGTTGGAAAATGGTAATTATAACTGCTTTTAGTACATGAACCCACATAAATGTCAGAAGTGGACCTGAACAATGTTATATACAAGAACAATGTAGGATATGAGGACTAAATTGTCACAGTCATATCAAAATCTTACATCATTTGAAAGCTGCTCTTTACATTGTATGACCATTTCATGACAAATGGGCCAAAAGAAATGGTCCAAATCTTGAACTATCTAGGGTAGCAGTGCTGTATCCTCTCTTGGTCTACTACCAAGTAGCACACTGAGATATTAATGTGATGTTATGTGACCTGATTTGAGCTGATTTTACTGTTCAGGGGGCAACCATCCGCAGGGATGAGGTAACCGGGGCAGTGGTGGTTGCTAGGATCATGAGGGGTGGCGCTGCTGACCGCAGTGGTGAGTGACTGCCTGCCTCCTTCACCCTTCAACATTATGATTCCTGTATTTTTTTACTTTAGCCCTACTCCCCCTTTTCCCTACACTAAGACCAGATTGCAAAGGTAGTGACAAACAGCTTGCAGATTCCAGTGAAGAAAAATCCAGAGAGAAATTTGGAGGACATGCAGAAGTATAGAACTTGTCTCTGTCCATTTTTGTTGATTTTTATTTTTCTACATCATTTGAATATGGCAGCTGTTCTTTACATTGTGTGAAAATTTCTTGATAAGACCAATAGAAATGCTCCAAAATGACTTGTAATAAATTCATGTTGCATTAGGTTGCATCAAAAGGTAATAACTTTTTTTCTTTTCCTGTAAAGTTACTATTTTGGAGAAACATTTTTCTTTTGGACAGCAACAGCATGCAGTGAAAATGACTAACTGAAAAATGATGTGATGTAATGTGTAAACTTCTTACATCCATGCTATATATAGCCTTTATGCAATCAAAACAGGATCAGAACAAAATTTGAACGAATAATCTAATGCAAAATACAACTTTCCAAGCGACAGATGGAGTTTAGTGACCACGAGTTTAACAATCCTTCAGATTATGCCCATGCCCTCCGATTTCAGATTACATTGATAATATATGGAGCTCATCAGTAACATGGAAATTCAATTCATCATAAGAGATCATGAAATGAAATGATTTGGTCTTGCCGTTTGTCCTGCTAAATGTATTTCAGCCTGAGTGCAACTTAATAAGAAATCCCATTTAGATTGCGTCTGGCATCCTCTTCACCAGATGGCTGATTGCCCTTTAAACGTTAAAGGTCGTGTCCAGTCTGGGCTCCAGTGTGTGTGCAATGAGCGTGTATTGCAGTAGCTATAGCTGACTGAATGTGCCTACAGGGCTGGTGCATGTGGGGGACGAGCTGAGGGAAGTCAACGGAAACCTAATCATCCATAAGCGACCCGATGAGATCAGCCAAATTTTGGTACGTACTCTTGCGTGCTGCAGCCTGAGACTGTCTTACATCAACTCTAATTTTCTCAGAATAGTTGTACTGAAGCACATGGGCCAGATTTGTATGCATGCTTTTTGATTAAAGGAATAGTTTGGTGAAAAATATAATTTACTGTTTTATACACAAATCGTGTTGCATGCATTTATCTTTGAAAATGGTCAAAAATATGCTGCACAGTTAAAAACAGTAGTAACACCAATTTTTATGTTTGAATTTTATCTGTCTTTTAAAAATGAAAGTATATTTGGGATTACTTAATATCTCAACACAAAAGGCAACTGTCTGATGATTTAGGTTGCAGTTTGCCCAGGGCTAATTTAATATATTTCTCTGTGCTCTTTGAAAGACAACTGTGAAGAGTTTAAAATATTAATTAATTCAGTTTTTTGTATAATGTGTTTTATTGTGGCATTTATTCCTCTGTGGAAAAAAATCAGAGTTTTGATTTTGTTTGCTAATGACTATGGCGGAACAATTTGGGCTGAACAAAATATCTAAATAAGATTTTTCTGTCCAATATTGTTATTGCGATAAAAACTGTGGATTCTATATATTAAGGTCCAGGTGTATTACTGTGGCCAAGAGGAACAGAATATCCACTTTTTCTAGCTTTAAGTGCAAATGCTGAACAAAGTGATTTTGTAGGATCAATAAAGTACATAACATAAAAGGCAAATGTGCACCATATTTAACAATTTCATAGATGGTAGATGTAATATATTTAAGTAACATATGTGAACTGGCAAGAAAAATGCAGTTTTGTTTACTGTCTGTATTGGGGTGAAGAGAAAACAGTGTAAATGGCATATTTTATTGCTGAACTATTCCTTTAAGAGAAAAGATGTAAGCTCTGTTTTTTTTCTGTGGCTGCAGTCTCAATCTCAGGGCTCCATCACTTTGAAAATCATCCCTGCCATCAAGGAGGAGGACAAACTCAAGGAGAGTACGGTGAGTAACATTGTTGTTTACAATCCACAACCACTTTCAACAATTCAAGGTCAAAAGCAGTTGTTGACAAAGGTCACTGGGCACAACAGCAAGTTTAATTAAAATTCCACAGGAGGTGTTGTTGGGTCCTTATAGTATTTACTCAGCATTTCTCACAATACCTGTTGACCTTTGCAGTGTGCTCATATCTATTCTGATTCCTGTGAAAGGTCTATTTGAGGGCCTTATTTGACTACTCTCCATTTGAGGACAAGGCCACGCCCTGTCAGGAGGCAGGACTACCCTTCCAGCAAGGTGACATCCTGCAGGTGGTCAGTCAGGATGACTCCACATGGTGGCAGGCTAAACGTGTCGGGGACAGCAACCTGCGGGCCGGCCTTATCCCTTCCAGACAATTCCAGGAGAGGTTTGCTCTTTCATACTGGAGCTATGGTGATAACAGCCATCTAGGCGTTGATTTTTGACTTTTTAGACTGACAAGGTTTTGTTCAGACATAAGCTGCAGTAGTCACAATATTACACCAAGAAAACAAATGCAATACCAAAAAAGGACATTTAAAATAGGGATACACAATTGGAATCAGCCAAGATCAGAATCAGCCATGATTGGAATCTGTAATCGGCCAATTTATTATTTTTATTTTGGCTGATCTGATCTGAAAAATATTATGCTTTTCTGGGTTTTCCCCTTTCCTTTAGTGTGTTATATAACTTTTTGTGCATGTGAATGGTCTGCAAAGTGACAAAGCTCAAAGTACATCCCAGAAGGAGTAACCCTCAGAAACCACTTTTCTCAGAAACGCCTCATTGGAATTCCAGCCCTTTTCCTTTGGTACAAGATGATGCAATCTTGTAATACAATCCTTATTTCCCACCTACCGCCAAGCTTGACCCACCCTCACACGACACACAGCAACTAGTAGAGGCTGGGAAGAGTTTGTTCCTGACTTTCAGGCTCGAACTCTGGCTCAAACTGATACGGCAGAACATACACCATTGTAAGAATAGCCACAGCAGTGTTTACAGCTGCTCAGGAAAGAAGGTCTGTCTGCAGACTGCAAGACAGGGGCGGAACTAGTAGTAGGATACAACTACCACATTCAACCGCTCTGGCGGCTGATGAATCAGAGCAGAGTGGGTGAGCTGAACAGTCAGAGTGCACTGAGCTTTGTTTTTGGAACATTAAAGTATGTAAATCTATTTAGTAGACCCCAAAATAAAATTATGAACATTAAAAATGAGCATGATAGATGCCCTTTAAAGAAACGGAAAAAAAATACAATTTTCCCCAAGTAAGTGTCCAACGTTTCCTTTTTTAGTGATGGACAAAGTAACTGCAGACAAAGTTCAGGCTTCAAGATGGCTGCTATATGTTTTAGCCATCACTCTTAAAAAAAGATTGATCAAGGTTCATCAAGGGTTCTTCAGTAAAGTAATTAGGATTTACATGCCTTAATGGTTCTTAGCATGGTTTTATAGAGCACCAGTAGGAGTTGTTCTGTTATTGTCACAATGTCAAGCTTGTAATAATAGAAGAACATTTTTTGGTGCTGTATAGAACCATTTTCAAAAGGTTATATATAAAGCCATATACAGCACATTCTCCATCAATCTGAAGAACTATTTCACTATGCAACAAACCCTTTAAACTTGCAAGTGGTGTGTTTAAGGTTCTATATAGAAACACTGTCTTTACTAAACAACCCTAGAAGAACCATCATTTTTAAGAGTGAGAATGAACTTTTACTCTACATCATAGAATGTTAGAAGCCACATAATCAAGTCTATTTTGAGATTACTTCGCAGCTCAACTTAGGTATGCAGTTTGTGTGATATAAGCTTACAATACTTGTCAGCTACTGATTAGCTTACCAAGTACTGATGAGATGTCTGCCTGACTCTTAGCTCCAGCACAAAACTAAAGAAACAAAATTCTGACACAAAATGGGAAAATTATATATTTTTTCTCACTTTAATACAAATGTAACACCAAGAAAACAAATGTAGCAAAAATGTACATCAAGACAGCAAATACTGACATGTAGGTCTTTGTGTTTTCCTCTGAATTCTTTGTGCAGGCGGCTGGCACATAGGATGAAAATGGGCACCTATCAGAGTCCTAAGTCACCAAGAGCACCACCCTGTAAGTGAGACCAACATGCCAACAGACTGACGACATTACAGTCAGTCTATCTACCCACTCATGAGCCTTCGGTCCACACAGCAGCAGTGACAGCTCCGTGTAAATCTTTTTCACTTCCTCTAATCTGACAGCAGCATGCTCAGGCCAGTCCAGAGTGCAAACAGGGCTTTAGGAATATGGCAGATTTCCTGCTGCTGCCAAAACGAGACGGAAGCCAAAACATTCTTAGATTAATCCCCTTCTGTCCAGGCCCCCAACCATATTCACCCCCTCCTTTTCTAAGCGTCTGTTATTTGACCCAGACTACGCATGCCATTTTTCCCATGGGTGTGTGTGTGTGTGTGTGTTTCATTTAAAAAAATGGACGCACAAACACAACAAAGGCAGATGTATATATGTATATTCATCGGTTAATCTCGTTATGGTCACTTTACCCCACAGTGGCAATAATGCTTCCAGTCTTGTCCAGCTGCAAATGCTTAAGTTGTGCTGTTTGTTTTTCCACTCTGCTTGCCACAGACGATCAAGCTTGTGATAAAGGTATGTGAGATATGGGATAAATAAAAAAATTAAAAAAACACAGAAGGTCCTTATATTTACAATATAATGCTAAAAAAGGCCTAGACACTCATGTTGTCATGAATCGTGTTTCTGTTTATATTTATGGCTGCAACAGAGCAGTCTGCAATATTCAAACCTTATTCAACCCTGAATGTTACTATGCTACTGGTTAATCTGATGTATCAGGCCCACTGGTTGGCTGTATAAAAGCCTGAAAGTTACTGATAAAACTATAAGTAATGTATTTTCTTCTATGTGTAAAAAGGGCCTTAAAGGCACAGTAACAGCCTGTCTTAATACTAAAATGATAAAAACTGAATTACTGGAACATAGAAATATGCACACAAATGTTATATGGAAAAAATACAAGAAAAATACAGGATATGGTGCCTTGAAGTTATTGCAGCCCAAAAAAGAAAACATGCACATCTGTATTAAAAACATTTTTGAAATGCTCAGGTGCCCCCAAACTTTTGACAGGTAGTGTATCTTTAGTAAATGTGTGTTGTCCGTGCCGTCTCTGAGCCTCAGCCCCCTCTCTCGCTGCCTGCCTCTATTCCTTTGTTTGTTCCACCTCCTCACTGATTCTCCCTTTCCTGCTCTCCCCTCCTCTCTCCTTTCCCTGTAGAGGATTGTGACTGTGAGGGCAGTAGCAGTGGACAGCACGTAGGTGAGGCAAAGCACCTCAACACACACAAACACATGCGCACACACACACGCTGGATGTGGCTTTGGCATATGGTGCTGCTGGGTGGCGTGAGAGTGAAGCTCTATTATCATATGTGTCGTTTACCTCATTCACATGGCGTCTGTTTTGCATAATACATCACACATATAGGCTGGTAACAGGGTTGTAACAGGGTAACAAGACAGTCAACAGCTGGGGGAAAGTTATGAAAGACATGCGGAAATGATACTTCTCCCTAGCTGCTGACTGACTAATTACCTCATCTTCTGTGTTTGAAATACTCCCGCATTCCTAAGATTAATCTCTATCTGACGCATCTGTGCAGTACAGTACAGTAGATTACCACACAATAATTTAATCATATTTTCCTGTACTCAATAAAATAACAGAAAATCAATTGACTTATTATAGGAGCCACTTGGCAGTTGATGGATTTCTTGACTATATAACACAAATTCAAAACTACAGCCATTACAGTCTAACGATGCAGTTTGTACTATGGGGCAGGTAGGAGAGAATGTCTTACCAAAGCTTACCAAAGCTCTTTATGCCAGGACTCTTTACTGTAAAGTGCTGCCGTTATTTTCTAGTTCTAATAACTGACTGAAACGCATTTAAGCTACAGCTCATACTGACAGTTAATAATGTATCTACAACTTTGGAGGCCCAGAGTTACGTTTCTTTTTCTTACAAAATTAGTCCCACTCATTGTAAATCACCAGAGCAATGATTACCTACCCTGTTCCTGGAGTCTTTGGCTCCAACCCTAATCGATGTCACCTGATCCATCTAATTATTGTCTTCAAGAATCTGTAATTAGCTGAATGAGGTGTGTTGGAGGGTTAGTAACCACTGCACTAGACTAAACCACTATTTGTTGCTAATTATGTCAGTGGTTAATCAGATACATTAGACATTCAGTTCAGCTCCTGACAAGCTGGAGAGGTTGATGGCTATGTGTACCTAGATCCCATAGAGAAAAAAATCCTACTTGGATAATTTTCTGTGGGCATTTCAAGAATTTAACTCCTCTATTTTATCACTAATGTTTTTTTTTTTATTTAACAATAAAATAAGAGTATTACTGCAACTATTGTAGAATTTATCTTACTTGATTGTTGAAATCATTTCATTTTTCTTCTAAATAAAGAGATTAAATTATTGAAACGCGTTCATCAGAAAATTATCTAATTTTTTTTCTTTAAAACAAACAACGATTATACTACACTAAAATTACAGAAATCATTATTTTTTTTTTGCTTCACAGAAATAATTACAATTATAAATAATTGTAGGGGTTTCCCCACTAATAAAATGTATTCCACTAACAAAATTCAGCTGGTCAGAGGCTTTTTATTATGATTGCGTATCAAGTGAACAGGTTTTCTGTGCTTTCGAAAATACAGAAAAAAACAACAAAGTTATTGCCCCTGGTAATCGACTACCTACGGCAGATGCGGCAGATAGAGATTAGGTTGAAAATGCTGGAGTGTGTTTTAAGCGAAATTGCTGTATGAATTATGTGACTATTCCTTGCTCTGTGAGGCTTAACTGTGCTGTGTCTCATGGTACCTTCAATGCAAAACATCCTTCCAGCCTGGCCTGTAGTTCTTCCAGAACTACAGTGTGACTGTGTGACTCTGGATGCCTTGCTGTCTGCCTTTGGTGTTGCCTCTCAGTGTCAGTGTGCGTGCCGTGAGTGGAGGAAGTTTGCCTCAGCGTGCTGCTGCACTTTCATGCTTTGGGGAGCTGGCTGCTTTAGCTAGGAGGAGCTTGGCTTATGAACCTGTGACACAGTCTCTGGCATGGCTGCTAGCTTGTGCTGCTGGTCCAAATGAAGCATTGTTGGATGTATGACAGTCTAACACTAGTTGTAGTTTCTCCGAAGTGTAAGGCGGTGGTGCCCTCCTGTGGCCAGGCCTTTTCCTGGGAGTTCTATTCAGGTACCACTCCCCATTTCTTCATGTGTGCAAGCTTGAGTGCCGTTTTTGATGTGTGGACAGTTTTTCAAAAAGGTATATGTAGTAATCTTGATGCTGTATGAGAAAACATTGCCAGCAAGCAAGTACACCTTCAGAGTAGAGGTTAAAATAGACTGGTGGCACTTCCATATTGATTTTTTGTTTTCACATTCCTCTGATTCCCATCCCTCACACTTGTCCTGTTACCAGTATGTTTTTGCGTTTCCCTTAGTAAGCTTATGGTTTTGCAAAGGAATCCAAATGAGTGTCCTTAAAAATACCATCCCATTGTGGATTTCAGCTGGTCTCAGGAGAAGTTTCCGTTTGAGCCGTAAGGACCGACAGAGTTCTCCTGGAGAGTCTCGGCCTGCAGAATCTGGAGAAGCTGAGTTTGTCACCTATGAAGAGGTGACACGGTATCAGCAGAAGCCTTCAGAGAAACCCAGGCTGGTGGTGCTGATCGGTAAGAATAAAGACAGTCTCAATCTTAGCCACACTGCAAAAAATGATATTTTGGAAAGTGAAAACATCTTAAATGTAGTCAGTATAGCTAATGTTTCTCAGTATGAGTTCGTTGTAAGAATATTCTATGGTTCTTTAAGTTATTTATAGACACTTTTACTTGTTTTAAGTGTTTTTAGTGTAACTGTCTTCATATACTGACAGGTAATGTAGCTTTGGCAAGAAATAATGCTTTAAACAAGCAAAAGTATCTACCAGTAGAAAAAATAAGTACAAGTAAAATACAGGATATGGGCCTTTAAAAAAAACTAACTTAATGTTTTGTACATTCATTAGTTATAGTATGTCCATATTTTTTCTATTTAGAATTAGTGTTAAGTGTAATTGGGACACAATTGTGTGTTTATGCCTTCAGATGGAGGCACGGTATTTAATTCTTTCTCTCTCTCTCTCTCTCTCTCTCTCTTTCTTTCCTTCTCTCTCTTTAGGGTCTCTTGGGGCTCGGATCAATGAACTGAAACAAAAAATGATTGCAGAGAACCCTCACCGCTATGGAGTAGCCGTTCCACGTGAGTCCACTTTTACTTCTCAGAAAACCTCTGGCCTTGGCTGGGTCCATTAAAGAGCTGGACAGATGAGAACCATTCTCTGGGCAGAAGGGCAGAGTCTTATCCTCACTGGTATAATTCATGAACTAACCAGGAATGTCTTTCATGTGAACTGCAGTGATAAGAGCTAAACTCCATATGTGAAGGCTCACTGAGGCTCACTGTGGAAATGTATTCTGACAGACACCACCCGACTCAGGAAGAGCCATGAAAAAGAGGGCGTGGAGTACCATTTCATCTCCAAGCAAGGCTTCGAGGCAGACATTCAGAGTAACAAGTGTGTTCTCCTGAGGCATTTATAAGACACTTTCAGAGTTTTGGTCCATTAACTTGTAAAGCCTGCAAAGCACAATATATCATGTGAGTAAATGTACACTGACTGCATTGTCCCATTAAGCTTTCAGTTCAGCTTCCATCTGCTCCACTATTTCAGGTTCATTGAGTATGGGGAGTATAAAGATAACCTGTACGGGACGAGTCTGGAGTCCATCCGTAGTGTACTGGCCAAAAACAAAATGTGTCTGGTGGATGTACAACCTGAGGTGAGAATTATTATTAGTATTGAGTTTATTCTATTATTCTATTATATATAATTTTATAGTAATTATAATGAATAATTATATATAAACTTAGAAACTACCTGGGATACCGTAACAATGGCCTAACACTTCAATAACAGCACTATAGCAACCTTGTAGGAACACCTTAGCAACTACCTGGAAAACCAAAGCAATGGCCTAGCAAAACCTTATAAACTACCAACTGCTTTAACGTTTGAAATGTTATTAGCTGACAAGTTATTCATTTTCCAGGAGATATTTTTGAGGATATTCGATATAAGTTTCCAAAACTGGAGTTCAAATAATTAATAAAAAGTGTAGAGAAAATGAGACTTTCATTTTTCAGATATAGGAGAAAATCAAGAGGAAAATTCACGAATCACACAAAGAAACTGCTGGTGTTCTCAGAACAAAGGACTTTTTTCCCTGACACAAAAAAATAATTAACCTGTAATTAATGGTATTGCCTGGAAGTCAAATAAATGAATGGGGGGTCACTGACATTTGTGTACATATTTTTCAGTTTTTGTATTCAATATTCTTAGGTTTACATTCCATATATTCAGTTTTTCATTTAATGTTCTCTAATTTTCTTTTTATACATTCATAATCACTTAAATATCAAGTTTTCATTTTGTATATTTGGGTTTCATTTAGCATTCAGGCACCATTCAATGCTCTTTTGTTTTTCCATATTCATGTCTGAAAGGCTTCTCATGAAACTGCTGTGGTCATTAAGGTACCTCATTAATCTGCAAGTGGCAGATTTATGAGGTACCTACAGTGGCGCTATGGAACATGACGACCCAGTGTTCTGACAAATTGTGCTACCATGTCGAAATGTCCTTCCATACTGAATATTTTTAGGTAGCGTTCTACATAAAGGTAGGATATTTTGATTGCTGAAAATGCTACCAGCACCGAAATGTATAGGTAGGATAGTTTGATAGCCTAAATCTCCTTATAAGAAAACATTGCCAGTATTAAAAGAATAATTAGGATATTTTGATCGCCTAAATCACATTATCAGGGAGTGAGTAATAATATTAAGCTGAGTCTGTACTGAATTAACATTGAAAACACAACAAAATGTTTGAAACGTTATTTTACTATGCTATAGTAATGACGTGCATGCTCACTAGGACCATTTGATGGGTAGGACAAATTGTTAAAACACTGGCATGTCCCTCCGCTGACAAGTGTGTGTGTTTAGCGTTTTGCCAATTAGTTTATTGTTAGCAAGCCAACTAACGTGGCCCACATAGCATTTTGGTTATAGTTATTTCACCTATTCATCGATTCATCACTTTGTAGACATTAGCTGATGTTATTGTACTTTAATAGCTGTGAAGGAATTTTTCTATGAAGCACTTATGTCCTATATTAAGTTTGGACTCCCACATTGTTGTGTGTTTGGTGTTCTCCAGCCATTCTGGACACATCCTAGAATTCAGATCTTGGCAACTATGACAAATATAAAGTGACACACCTTTCTGTGGTGAGCTGAAGTGATACAACTGTCTATACTTCTAAGGTTAATAACTGTTCATAAGGCAATAACGGAACTTATCCAGCGTTTATGCACTTCTGTTTCTTGTGAAAAGGTCCTATTGTGTGAAAGTGTGTGCTCACATTCCACTATATCATAGTACATATGCACTCACAATATTCTCATGCTATTTTGTTCATCAGGCTCTGAAGATCTTGCGTACAGCAGAGTTTAAGCCCTATGTGATATTTGTGAAGCCGCACCTACCTGAGGATTGCCGCCAGCACAGCACAGCTACATCACCAGGAGGTGGTGACAATGGTCAGATCACGGTCAGAGCCTTTATATTTTACTATACATCAGTATCTCCCAGACACAAAAACAGGCTTGTGCAAATCCATCTTCCATTTATTTAATTTACAGTCAGAACTGCCATTAGGGAAAAAGAAAAAAAAAAACAAGTAAAAGTAAATTATACAGAAGCCCCAACAACTAAATATAATATCATTTGTTTATTATTTAGTGTGTCCACTCTTTGCCTTCATTACAGCTTCCATTATTTTCAGTATACTTGTTTTAGTCTTAGACGTTTTTTCTGCTTCTTACGATCCAAGTAATCCCAAACACATTTAAATGATGTTGTGGTTTGGACTCTGGGGTGGTCAGTCTATTTTTCTGAGAGCAGTAGCTTATTTGTTTGAATTTCCTTTTCTCAGTAAAAGACAGGAGTAGACTAAAAGGCAGAAATGGCCAATAAAATGGGTGAAGAGCAGAAGTCTGCTTTGTCTCTTTTGTTTATGTGACCAGCTGATTTCTCACTCTCACTGTGTAAAGGATGAAGAACTGGCAGAGATGCGTCACTCAGCAGAACAGATGGAGCAGCAGTACGGCCACCTGGTGGACAGGGTCATGGTGAAAGAGGACTCTGTCAGTGCCTGTGTGGATCTGAGGAATATTCTGGAGCGGCTGGAAAGGGAACCGCAGTGGGTGCCAGTCAGCTGGGTCCGGCCGTGACTCTCTGACTACACCGCGTCCTCTGATGGTGCGTTGGGAAGGTCCTTGTGAATTCATAGTTATCAGTTTGTGTGTTCACCACAAGGAAGCTGCATTCAAATGGCTGACACTGGTGTAAAGACAGTTGTAAAGTGGTAAACTCAGGCAAGTTCCGATTTTGTTAGCCAGTACAGTCTCTGATTCCACACAAGCATAGCAGACAAAGATGGCAAACAATGCATTATTGGTAAATGTATCACTGCAGTCAGTCAATGTATCACGTTCATAAATGATTGTAATATGAAGACTACCTCTATTGAGTAGACAGGCCCTACCAGTAAACAGCAGTAAGTGATGTCATAGGTCCATTTGCAGTACTTTGTCATTAGTAACATATTATTCCTTTTTCAGCAACAGGAAAAAGAGCAGAAATCATATATTTCACAGAAAAATACACAAAAGCCTAAAAGAAACTAAATACAGGCTAATAATATTAATTCGTCCCATTTTCTCTTTCATCTTTTAGTAATTATTCCAGTTTGGCAAAACTCCTGTTTTTTCACTTGTTTTCCTTTGACTTTCCCCTTTCCTTATGCAAGGAATTTAATCTCCTTTATCCTGAAAAAGTAATAACTTGTACTTAATGGCCACTTTGAGTAAATAAATGAATTGGGATCACTGATGTTTGCACAGTACTGCAGGTATTGTTCACATGAAAAATACCGGTTGATGATGATTAGCCAAGCACAAAAAACTGGCAGTCACAATTTAGTGATGTGATAATGTTCTGATGTTACAGCATTGACAAAAGCCATCTGAAATGCATCACAACATAATGTTTGCCTCCAGTCTTGATGGTCACCTATACTGCACTCTGTGCACCTCAGTCATTTCACAGCTAATGAAGTCATTCTAGAACAGAATCAGGTGTTGTTTGAGTAAGTAAAACATGAAACTGTGCACCACAGGTGGACTACAGGACTGCACTGCAAAAAAATGGTATCGTGGCAAGTAAAATTATCTTAAATCTTTTTACATCTTTAAATCGTTTATTTTTTTTTATTTCTAGACATTGTTTACTTGTTGTCGGGTAAAATGATCTTAGTATATTGACAGATAATTTCATTTGCTATAGGAAATGCTTCAAACAAGCAAATATCTGGTGAGAGTGAGATAATTTTACTTGATAAAATGACTTAAAACGTACAAAATGTATAGAAATATGACAGATAATCTTACAGTACTTCTACACACACCTCAAAATGAGAGATAGATATATCAACTAGATTTCAGCTAATTTTACTTGACAAGATGCCATTTTTTGCAGTGTGTAACCCAGTCACGAACAGAACGCTGATATTCAGGCACCTGCTTCTGTTTCCTCCGCCTTGTTCTATTTCAGGTGAAGCAACAGAAATGGAGCATTTGACCGTCTACAGTGAAACGCTTTTGGACACCTGCAGTTAAATTAAACCTGTGGAACATATTGGTTGCTAGGACTTGCATGAATTACCACATGTACAATCTGCATCCATGGAGACACAAATAATACTCCTGACTGCGCCTTTCACAGCTTTTTGTGTTCAGATTCAGAAAACTAAGAGGCCAAGACTGATTACTGTAGCCATGTGAATATGTGCTGTTTACTGCATATCACTCAAAGCCACTTCATCATGAAGGTCTCTTCTGACTTTTTGTACTCCATCGTTCTGTAATGACTGTTTATATTTAGCAGAATGTAAATGATGGTGTTAGTATATATATATATATATATATATATATATATATATATATATATTTGCAGTTAAGTCCATGATTCATTTTCTGTATAAAAATTGACTTTATTGAACTATTTTTTATTTATTATTATTTGATTATTAATGTTTTTGTAACCTGTATTCTGCTAAAACTGAAATGATGACTGCTGTGCTAGCTACTTTATTTTAAGTTGCCCAAATAATATGAAATTATGGTATTCTAATTTATTACGAAAGTGATATCACAATAAAATCTAAATTAAGGACTGAGGCATGTGTTAAATTTGGGGTAATGTAATACTAAGATATGATTACATATCCTTTAGAATGTAAGATGTTTTTAATGCACTGTGCATTGTGTGAATCTAAAATAAGACCCATTTTGTGACTATTTCCTCTTTTTGACCAAGTGTGCTAAAACATAGTTATGAGTATGAAACTGGAATTCTCTTATTTTTATATTAGTGTGTAAGAGGCCTGGAAATCTAATAAAGTGTATGATTTTAGATATGGGATGCAGTTTCTTTGGATCAGTAAATGCTGAAAGTTACCTGGACAAGAACAAAGTTCATCAAGCATTTTGCTAGTTTAGGTCTTGCCTTCAACATGGTTGCAATATGAGACTGTAGGAGGACTCTGAGAATTTGGGCTGGAAAACTTCTGCATGAGCTAGAAAGATGGACCCAATTTAAGAGTGACATTTTTATTCATGTTATTAAATGAAAAAGAAAACAAAGCAACCCCTGAATCACCTCCTGCTGCATGGTCTGTTGCATCTGATGTAGTTTGCTTTGTTTTTAAGACAGTGGACATTTTTTTGGTGCTAGCCTTAGTTTAACATGGACGCCAGACCAATGAGGCCTGGCTGAGTAGCTGCCTGACTCAGTCAGCTGCATCAGATGGCATTACGGTCTCCCAGCCTTGTCCACGAAACAAGCCGTAGACCAGCTAGTTCACTTGTCAGGATCCAGTCCTGGCATGCCAAAACATTGCAGACGTCAGCACACTACCTCATTAAACACACCTGATTCAGCTCATCAACTAATTAGCAAACTGAATTCAGAGCATTAGAGGATGGTAAACGTTAATCTTTGCAGCGTTTCTTTGTTCTCCTTGTTTTTGCATTTCTCAACTGCATTTGGATGACTTTCATTTTCCCTCACAACACCCAGAAAATCACACAGAAGAACCTCCACTGTATAATCTAGATTATTACTTCTTTGCCTTGTTCATAGCAATCTCTCTTTACGCAGCTGTGTCATCACGTAACAACATGGAATAGTCCATTATAACCATGACCGGGGGTGAGGCTGTCCTGACATTATTGAAAATAGCAACAACAGTGGTAAATAACAGCTATTTTACAATGTATGTATATGTTGCAGTGCAAAGACTGACAAAGCAATACACAATATTAACCTTACATGATGCCATCCTATGCTAGTTAACAGTGAACTTTATGTTCGTTGTACTGCATGTGTTTAGTTTTGATCCACCATTAATTTCTGATTTGATCACTAATATAGCTAAGGAGTGTCAGTCAAAATGAGAAGCTACTTCATGATTTAGCTAAAAACGATAGCTAGTGGTCCAAACCAAATACAGGGGGTTTGCATTTTACAAACGGTCACATTTATATTCTGTGTTGTATGTTAGCCTAAACCTTGGTGTCCTAATGCTAGTTACGGATGGTTGCTAAGAAGTAATTGGAGGGCTGATGAAAAGTAGGCGGAGAGTGCGATGATTTTGATTGGTCATAATAGAGCGACCCCGCCCAGAGAAAACAAATCAGAGCACGTTCAGTCTCCAAGCGTTGTGCGCTGTTTTGCTACAGTTTTCAGGTTGAGCAACATGTTTGGTCGAAACGGTGCAAAACGGTGGGAAACAGGCTCTGAGGTACGTTTTCTCTCATTTGGCAGGTGTGTCAGAGGTGTTACCCAATCAGCAGCGACGTGTACATAAACCCCGCCATATTAAAAAGTGCACACAGTGGATTCTAATAAAGTCCTCTACATATGCAATAGCTTGGTGTGCATCTTGGTGTGCACAACAGTTAAAAACGGTAGAAGATGTCTGTCGTTAAACCCAATACAAGGGGCTCAGAAAATTCCTTGAAAAGGACGCCAAAGAGGTTTTCTCAGCTGCCATAGTTGCAACGCTTGCCTAACACAACTGAGTATTCAGTGCAGCACTGTTTCCTTTGAAATAAACGATTTGCTACATTTTGTCCGGGGTGAATGAAGCCTACGTTTAAATATTTTAAAGAAATATGGCTTAATAAACATTTTTCCCTATTTGATTGGTTAGGCTTGTGGTCAGCCTCCCTGTGGCTGCTCCCCCCTGGTTGGAGGCCCGAGTGTGTGGTACGTATGGTATTTGAGGAAGCTAATGTTGGCTTCTTATTCAAACTGTCCGCTCCACCTTAAATGGAGCAGCATTTACATTAAAGTGTCTGTTCAGGTGACAAAATGTAACTACTGCTCAATTTAAGGTAGAATGGAAAATGTGTACAAAAAGCTGCCAAATTAAAAGCTTCAACTCAACATTTTTCATCATTTTTCACCTTGTTGGCCACAAAGAAATATTGCCATAGATGTGTCAGTTGACATTACTCAGTACTGATACCAATAACAGAAGAAAACCTCAATAACACTAAATAACAAGAAAAGCTTTTTCAAAGCTTTTTATTTGTAAATGAGGGCATTCATTTTGAAGTCAACCTGAAATGTAAACTGACCACAATTTATCATCTTTCGTCAAAATCTAATGACTTTTGTCTGACTCTAAAACGTCTTCTGAGGTGTGGTTATGTCACCATGTACCAGCAGGTGGGGAAAAAACATTAACCAAATAATATATTCACCTCCCTCCTCCTATCCTCCCCACCTATCATCAGCTAGCTTAGAGACCCTCCCTGAAACCAAGTTTCACTCAAAAATACATCACGGTACAGAAGGAAATGATTTCCAGTTCACATTGACTTTAACATTGTTCATTCTCACAAGATGAGATTTGCATAGTTTTGATATCCACCACTAGATGGCATTATTGGACATGCACTGTTTTTCATGTCCACCTGGCCGGGCTGGACAGTCACTAACAGACATACTTGTTAGTAATAAGTGTGATTGCTGATATGTGGTGGTTGACATTTTTTCATCTGTTCATTTGACTCAAATACCACTTAAACACAGAATGCTCGTTTACACTCAGTGCGACACCAGCTTCACTCAGTAAGCAACAGATATCACAATTTATTTATTTTTCCCATAAAGGAATAGACATTAAAGGTATAATCTTAATGATCCACAATACAGGTACATACATGGGGTTGATGCATCAACAGTAATGACAGAAACAACCGAAAAAAGGAGAAGTGCTTATTCTGGAAGGTCCTCCTTTATTCCACAAGTGGATATGACTCAAATATGTAGCCTACCTTTATAAGGTTCTTTCATAAATGCTTACGGCACACGGCCAGTGTATTCAATTTTAAATGCAGCTTATCCTTGCAATAGCTGTGCAAATATTGTAAAATCATGCAACACTGCCCACACTTCATCCACCCAGACAGCTGGCCAGGGCTGGGTCTACCTCAGGTCAGTGCCTCAGGCTGCCCAGAAAATGCCAACCAAAAGCTGCCATGTATGCACTGTGTGAGCAGCACTCTACTGAAGGCTCCCAACTGCTTTCTCTTGGCTTCTTAACAGGTGGCATAAGATGAGAAGGCTCTAGTATGAGAGATTGGGGGGGGTCCTCTTGGGGGCAGGGCTGAGCAGGCTGTGCAGTGACTTGCACAATCGTCTGTATGGTGAAAATCTTGAAAAAGTGCCAAAGTAACTGGAGAGGGCAAATGTTAAAAATAGACCTGTCCGTCTGTGCTTAGTCATTCATATCCCGGAGACATGAGAGGGGCTCGTCCTCGTCTTCCCTTAATGAAAGAGTGGTGTGATATGATGTGCTGTTCTCCATGAGGCCATCAGTAAAATGTTGCAGAGCTAAAAGTTTGCACACAGTTGTATTTTTCAAAACTAGCTTAAAAATGACAAAACAGCGTAACAAAACCATGCATCTCTGAAATGGTTATTCTGTATGAGCAGGAAAAACAGAATCTTTCTCACTCAGTTTTGTATAAGCATTGTTAAAGTTTCAAAACATACCATTCACTTTACATAGCCTGTTTTGAATTTGTTAGGTTTTTGACATCACAAAACACAATGCATTTACACATATCTACCTATTCAAAAGCAGTTTAGTTCTTCCTATTTATATTTAGGTTATTAGGAGTGTTGCAGCCCAGACAGCCAATCAGAACAGAGGTCATGTACATATATCAGTCTTATCAGGCACGGGAACAAAAACAGCTAGTTTAATTTGAGGGGATAAAGAAAGTTTGGAAAATGGTCATGTATTAGAACAGTTTTGGCACATAAACCCACACAAACATTAAGGGTGGGGAAAAAAATAATTACAAGAAAAATGTAGAATATAAACCATTTTTGTACATTAATATAACTAGATTTTATTCCAGGGAATTTTGCACAACTTCTGTTACGCCATTTGTAATGAAATGTTTACTCGACGTAAAGGGCAGCAGTTGTTTTCAAATGCTGTAAAAAAAAGTTACAAGGTTTTGAATCCAGCAACAATAAGATTGTTTATTAACTAAAAGAAAACAACTGCACGTACACAGTGAATGAAGTACATATTATTTTACTTTATGCTTTTTTTTAGCACGACTCACCCGCTGATTATACCTTGAGGTTTTGAGAGATATCTATATACAAATTTTTCATGTACATGTGTTTAAAGATATGATAGAATTTTCCATTAAAACTTGATGAAATATAGAGTGAATGAATGCAGCCTCATAATGGTCTTAGGTATGGAGTATTACACAGTGATGACAGGTGCAGACTCGTGGCTGTGCTGTCACTTTTGAA